ATCTTTCTCCTGCTCTAGATATTAGAAATGTCATCGTGTGGGGAAACATCAGTGGTAGTTTCTACATCGACCTGCAGTGGACGAAGGTTTTCAACTATGACGGGGCAATCAAAGGACCAGCTTTCTTTTCCCAGCCAGCTCTAAAGCTTCTACACCAAAGGTTTGCCACAACAGTCAATCCGTATAGCTCATGGGCTGTATACCCGGAAATCCGACAACCTCTTTCCCCTCTGCCAGGAAATGGTTGGAGACAGACTTTCAAGACATGGCACGTCGTCGGCGTGCGGAAGCGGCTTCAAAGTCCTGCCGAGCGGCCTCCATGTCGGCCGCCGACGGGATCCTCGCCGTCCTGGCGGCTTGGAACGGCGGCTCCGATGGGGTCTTCTCTGTGGGTGTACTTTGCCAAGGTGAAGACACAACTCGACAATGGGACAGCGATTCGGGCGAATGTGCCCAGTGATGAAATGTGATTGTCTTTGGCTACTTGCAGGCGAGTATAATCTCCCAGACGGCATGGTCTTCTCAATTCCAGTGAATTTCACAGGCGGCAAGTTGGGCGAAAGTCCGAGGCGACCATTGGAGACGTTGAAACGGAGAAACTCTCACACACACACACACACACGCACGCACACACACACACACACACACACACACACACACACACACACACCTGCATACATGCATACACAATAAGAAGAGCCTGAACAGAAGCTGTCTAAGAGATATCAGATCCCAACAGGAACCATACGTCTTCATCACGGACAAACACAAAGATGCTATTTTTGGCCCCATTTTGTTTTCCCATGTATTTCACAAAGAAAGGGCATTTCGGGGACACGTTCAATTAATGACACATTTCCCTTTCTGCATCTATTCCTCACTCTCGCCCCGTTAAATTCTATCCATGCAGATTACATTCATTAAATATTTAAACTGTCACAGTTTTTTCCACTCTCTGTTGTCGTAACCCACATTCCCTTGCAACCAGCATAATGTATTCAATTCCTCGGCGTTGTGCAGTAAAGTTAATATCAATTCTCCTCTCTCCGTCCAGACGTTGCTGTCGGAGGTGGCAGTATCAGTGTCGGTGGAGGACAAGGCAGCCAGCAGGTACTGGGTGTCCGTGTCTCCTCTCTGTCCCGATGGATCCACCGTGAAGGACCAGAGTTGTTCGGGAGTGATGCCCGGCCAGACGGTAAACACAAAACCTTCAGAAAAACGACAGTCAAAGCACACGTGGGGAATCAGTGCTAGAATTTAGCTAAATATTACTTGTTTTTATACAAGAATCTCTCATTTAAATGATAAGATGTATCACACAAAATGCATTGGCTGTTTTGGATTACTTACTCACACATACCAACAAACTCAAACACGACACTGAGGGCTTACAGTTTGGTAAATAATCTGAGTTTAGAGGATTACAGACAGTGTTAAGCAGGAAAATACTGCCATGTGATTCCATGACCTATTTATCCTGAAATCCTTACCTTGCCACACATGAGTGCCTTTGTGCAAACAAATAGAGCATTTATTGTTAGAAACCTGTTCTATTTATCCACAGAGAGGAACATTTGAGATAATCCGCCACACTGCAGAGGAGATTTTCTGACTGACTTAAAAACTTATTTACGAGAGGTCAAGAAACCCCCTTTCGGTACTAATTATTATGACATTTTCATTACATTTGGAAATGTTCTTCCTGTTCACTCCCAAACGGCCTCTCTCCAGTAACCTTTTGGGGCTCTTAACCTTAATTCAAGATACTTATTGCTCTATAGTTATTCCATTGTGCTAATCGACTGAAGTTTAATGGGTGGGTGGATTAAAGTGAATTATGGAAATGACCAGAATCGTAATCAAGTGAAAGGAGGGAGATTAAAGGAGATTAAAATCTTTGGCATGCACGGCTTTCCGCATGAACAGAATAATTATTCACATGCTGCATCACACTTACGATACAGTTCCCTGGTTCCAGATGTTGGATAAGTATCCAGGAACTATTTATCTCTTATCAGAGATTTCCACAATGGTACTATGAACCGTGGCTCATTTTAGATCAGGACTTTCATGGGGGGAAAATACATTTATAAACTCAGCTGGATTTCTCTGGATCTGTGTTGGATCCTTAAAGCAGCAGCAGAGAGCTGAGAAAGAAATGGCTGAATAGCAAGTCCTTCATTCGTTTTGTGTGTGTGTGTGTGTGTATGTTTAACAGCCACGACAGCTGGCGTGGTTTTCACCTTGCGAGTCGCTGATTATTAACATAAATGTGGAAATGTTTTGTCACCGAGATCCAAACTAGAGGTAAAGTTTGAAGCGGAATGTGGCCCTTGCAAGCTCGCCAAAATATCTTTCTTGCCTTACATGATTATTTATTATATTACTTGTCCTGGCAAGACAACAGAATAAGCTATTTTAGTTTTATTTTCATTATGGAAGGACGTTTTAAGAGTCCATATTCAGGGACGGCAACGGTCGTAAAATAAAGTATTTGATAAATTAAAAGTTTGACCTGATGAGGGCGCTGGAGAAAAAAGTCAGGGAATCACAAAAGTTCTTAAAATTCATTCAAATATCAGATCTCTGGACTCTGAATGTCTGTGTTGAGATATTTCAGTCCCGACCACGGTGGTGATCAACCCTTTTCTCTCACCACGCAGGTTTACTTCAACATCACTATCGGGATGCGCTCCTGCCCTGGCAACGGCGAAGACGAAGATGTAACCGTGATGGTTCGACCCGTGGGCTACAACGAATCCACCGTTATCAAGGTCCACTCCAAATGCACGTGCAGTTGTGGAGCCACGAGGCGCTGCTACGAAGAAAGCCAATGCGGAGGAAGCTCCGGTCAAGAGCAGGAGCTGGATCAGGGACTCATAAACGACGCCGACGGGGAGTCCAGCTGGAATTGCAGACGGGATGGGTCCGATGTGGACTGCAGTGGTCGGGGAGCGTGTGAGTGCGGGAGGTGTGTGTGTGACCAGACCAGGCTCGGCGCCGTGTACGGGAAACACTGCGAGATAGACGACTTCTCCTGCCCGTACCGAGGGGGACTGCTGTGTGGAGGTCAGCTGCAAAATGGATGCAGCGCGAAACGTTTGAGTTGATTTTTAAGAACACACGCACACAGTCTGCAATGAGTCTCTATCCGTCTCTCTCACAGGGCGTGGCACGTGCGTGTCAGGTGAGTGCGTGTGCGAGGACGACTGGACCGGCGATAGCTGTGGTTGCCCCGTCTCCACGGCAACCTGCCAATCGACAAAAGGCCTGTTGTGCGGCGGGCGGGGCAGATGCGTGTGTGGCAGGTGCGTCTGCGACGACCCCCGGCGCTCCGGAGACTTCTGTGAGAGATGTCCTGCTTGTCAAAACAGCTGCCAGTCGTACTGGTACGTGTCGGTTTGGATGTACTGCCACAAAGCGTGACGGGAGGGCTCACCGAACTACTTGTGACGCTTCGTCGTCTGTGTCTCTCCATCTCAGGAAGTGCGTGGACTGCCACTTGTCTCACGGCCTCGCACAGAAAGAGGCTGGACATTGCAACAACACCTGTGCACCACTGGTGGGCTACGTGGACGTTGTATCAGGTACAGCTACCAAAAGGCAATTTTACACCATGTGCAGTTTGGGCGATCTGAGGAAAACGAATACCTGGATTTACAGACTATTATTATATAGAAATGAGGGAGTAACTCAACACCACAGGGATACTCGATACTTGAAGTATGAAATACTTTATTGGTGCAGATTAAAGGTGAAAACTTTATACACACAGTAGCTTCCTTGTTATGATAATCTCACTGATTCTTTTGTTTCAAGTAATCCTGCAGGATTTTCTCTGAGGCCTTTGAGCTTAACATGTTTGGACTGAACGACATCGTACTTGAACTCTCTGTTCTAACATGTTTTTTTTTTCAGGCCAAGCAGAGGAGATGTGGATTCAGTGCATGTACATCAGTAATGACAACTGTCGCCATCGGTTTCAAACAAGCACACGGGCTGGTCAGGCTCAGCTTCAAATCAGCACAAGACCAGGTACAATGTCAACACACACGTGACGCTGACACGCATGACTTCATGCGAGGTCACTTCCTTTGCTACCGCTGGTGCTCTGCTGCAGCCCTGATGTGCTTGAGTCAGCAAGCCTGCTGACAGTTTAACAGCTGTATTTTACATTACAAGTTCCCAAACCTCCTTCTTAATTTTCACAGTCATACACCCCCTCTCCCAAACACACACACACACACACACACACAAACTTTTAAAAGCCCCTAATTCACACAGACCCAGAGGTACACACACACACACACACACACACACACACACACACACACACACACACACACACACATTACTGAACATCCTGTAACAAGTAACAAGTGTTACAGATCATCCCCGCCTTCCCGTTTTTTGGAACAGCACCGCTCATTGTGCGTCCCACTTCCACCCCCCCCTACAACCCCCCCCCCCCTATCCCCTCACCCAACGGAACACTCTCTTCCGGCTCACGCCCACTCCTCCCGGGTGCAGCGGGAGCCAGGTCTCCATGGCAACGCTGTTACAAAATGTCAGAGCCCTCTTTGGGCTCTTTGTGTTGCGCGATGAGCCCGTCGTCCACACATGCTCCACAGAAGATTCACAGCCAGCCGACTGTTCAGTGCAGAACTAGAACACACAGCAGAACACACAGCTGCCGGTGGCCGCGCTGCGCCAGTGTTTGTTTGTATGGACAGTAATTAGGTTTATTACTCAGGCACAACTTTTCACAAGTATTTGTATTTTACTTTACCCACATCCAGATGTAAGCTAAAAAAAATACGATGAAAACCATCCGGTCTCAGTTCACTCACAGTGAAAGCTTACGTGTGTGTCCACAGAGTGCGGCAACAACAGCCGGCTGCTTGGAACATTCCTGAGTGTGTGCGCCCTGACGGTGCTGTGCGGGCTGGTGGTGGTGGCCGTGTCCCGGCTGCTGCTGCAGAAAAGAGGCCTGTCACCAGGGGGCACTGCTGCAGAGGGACCCTACCACTGCCCCGGAAAGGTACGCGTTTTTTTTCCCTGGAACCCCCCCAGAAGTATTGGGCCTCATAATTCTGCGGGACGTGTTCGTTGCCGTGTTCTGTCCGCCGAAAACCCAGGAGTGAGAGTTCCGAGTGAGCTGTCAGACCTACAGCTGTATTTTACATTTCCTCTCGAATCCCTGCTGGCCATCGGCCGCGTCCAGATTTGTGACTTCACAGTGATGAACGACACCTTCGAGAAAAAGAAAACGATTGAGATTACAACAGGGGGGCTTTCTGGATGTACTTATGTCTAAACTGGTGTGAACATCCCTCATTTATTCTACATTGTTCACCACAGATCATGGTGACGTACTAGTTTTGCAACTAATATGGAGCTGTAAAGATGTCCTGAACGACTACATAATGTTATATATGGATAAAGTGAATATTTATGAAATTTGCATGGAAAATAATGGTCTATTAAGCAGTTTTATAAAGTCTATCTCAGAATATACTGGAGTAAATGTCTCGTGTCCCCACATATAGCAAGACAAGCCAAAATTGAGAATCGTGTCTGCGTGTTTGTGTGATGCCATTACTCACTGTATCTGTTTCGCTTTTTTAGGACCTGTCATTCATCCCAACAACCAATGAGAAGACAGTTACTTACAGGAGAGACTGTCCACCTGACCGACCCTTGGAGATGCACATCCAGGTTCCCAAGATGCCCCTCTGTGACCCCTGGCAGTGCTGAGTGAAGGTCATTGGACAAGTTCGGAAAGAAGCCAGTAGAGACACTCGGGAGAGTCAAGTAAAGACTTATTTTCCCAGCCTCTAAATCTTCAAACAGCTGCACGGGGAGAGACTGTGAATGATGAACTAAACTTTGAATGCCTACACGGAATCACATTCGTTAAATGAACTGACCAAACTCTCGTAGACTGTGACTAATGAGGCCAGTATCTTGGAATTCATGATGAAACAAAGAGCACATATCACCCACCTCCTATTCCTCTGCAGCAACGGGGAGGCTGCTTCTTCCACGGGGTAAAGGGTGATCCTCCTTACATCCTTGTTTATTAGCCATGCAGGCAATAGCTGTGTGTGTGTGTGTGTGTGTGTGTGTGTGTGTGTGTGTGTGTGGGTGGACCAGTTAGACACACTTGTCCTTTTTACTGGCTCACTATTTATGATTCAATAGCAACTACATCACAACAACACTACATGTTGGACATGTTGGACATTTCTAGGACTGACACTCCAAAGCTCCCACTGAACCATCTGCCTGCAGGGTTAGTCTGCCCTCCTGTGGCCAGATTGAAGTACAGCATTTTGTCTCTAATAATAACGTCAACACATAACTGACCTCAGCTGTACTGCTTGGAATTTAAGTGACGGAGCGTGCCAATGACAGTGTATGGCTCCTTTTTTTCCATTTCATTCGTGGCACACTTGTCTTATAGTTTCTTTTTTTATTTTGTGACTGCTAACCGATCAGCTCCATTGCAAATTGTTGTTACTCTATAGCATTTTTAGTTTCATGTGTATTTTATAATCAGGGTGGACTTGCACTAGAACAGTTGTTTTGCATTATACTACTGAAACCTGGGGTGTCTCTGGAGTGGGAGAGCTGTGATGGGCTTGAAATGAGCGGTTTCCTATATTTTGGGCATTTGAAGGCATCGATCGACGGCTACTTATTAAGTGCATTTAAAGCTGATGTAACAAATCCACTACACTGGAATAACAATTATCTAAAATAACCTGTTTAAAAGAATTGAACGTCCCAATAATTAATTGCAACAGTATCATAAAATGCTTTGCATGCGGCCTCACTAACCGACAGAACCCAAACCGGGTCTCCTGATCACCCCAGGAGCCGTTACTGACGAGTTGAGACTCATCGGCTCTCGAGGTACTAAATCAGTTCCACCCCTCATGCGCTCCGTCATCTGGACCCAGAGTGCCGGTTTTAAATTGTATTCAACACAATATTGTTTACAGCAACAGCTGCTCTCTTTTACTGTAAGTCGGGAACACTAATTATTATTTATTGTGATTGTTCTATTAGTTTTTTATTTATGTTTATTGTGCTATTTTAAGATGAGGCTACCTGCATTACAGGTAGTGGGTACTGTGTGAGTTTATAATTCAGCAATATGGTCATAATCATCTCATCTGACTGGGCACTGAGTTTGGAATAACAACAGCACTTTTCTGTGTATTTTTGTTGTCAATTAATGTAACTAGTTGTAGCATGAATGTTTTCATCACAATAAAATTTGCAGGATTGTTTTAGTTGTTTTGTAGTAACAGGTTGTAAATTATTTGATGCCTATTATTTGGAAGGCAGTGACTATTGGTCACTGTGTAAAGTGAACACTAGGTGGAGATGAGCACTAAGATATAAAATGAGTGTTAATGATCTATAAATACAAGATATTGGGACTAACAGAAAGTGTACAAGTACAATGCCTGATCAAGGATATGATATTTTCTTCAACACTGCAGTTCAGACCGGATGGATTCAGTATCTTAAACAGGGAAATCTAATTAACAAGCCGAGGCCTCAGCATTACTCAATTTACTTGATTAAATATGATCTCAACTTTGTAATTTTAGCGATTTGATGGTGCATATTTGTACAAATGAGACCTACTCCAAAAATAAATTAATCGGATCAGAAATTTTTAGAAATAAACTGAATGGATAAAATGTCAGGTGCCTGAAATAGAAATTCTCAAATAGTCTGATGAATTTTAGCAGTTCATTTCTGCTTTTGTTTTTCTTGGGTCAGATGGTAATTAGATAGTTGCAAAAACATACGACACATCAGCTGAAACGAGAAATTTTTGCAAAATCTTCCTGTTTTTTATTTAGTTATTCATGACTTCAACAATTTAGTCTCTTAACCAAGCATCACTAAAATATCCTGTAACGATATATAGCACAACCTGAGAATTAACAAAAGATTAAGAAATACCCAAATACAGGCCTCACGCTTCTTTTCCTAAACCTGTATTTTAATAACACAAGTCTGATAACCTGTAGAGTACAAATTTATTTTTCAAGAAGGCTACAAATAAGATGAGGTAAGAACACAGCGTTCATCCACAGTTTAAGTTCACCATAAAGTGCCATTTCAATTTTTGACTGTCCAAAAAAAAAAAACACACACACACACACACACCGGCTCATACAGGTTTATCGAATGCCCACGTGTTGCTTTGTACTTTATTTCACCGGCCTCTGTTGTGGCTCGCCGGTTTGGAGAGTCTGACGCACCTCGACCCCGGGAGAGTGGCTCGGGCTCCCGGCGAGGCTATTGTCCGTGTCGCTGCTGCCTTTCCCGAGACCCGGTTCCGCGCCGTCCTCCGAACCGTCCGCACTGTGGGTCCTCGCGTGCTTGTTGAGGTGGTCGGAGCGCATGAACCGTTTGTGGCAAATCGAGCACTCGAACCGCTTCTCCCCGGTGTGCGTGCGTAAATGCCGCTGGAGCTCGTCGGAGCGCGTGAAGCGCTTCCCGCAGAAGAGCCAATTGCAGACGAACGGCCTCTCCCCGGTGTGCCAGCGCAGGTGGGCCTTCAGGTGAGACGTCTTGCCGTAAACCTTACCGCAACCCGGGATGTGGCAGCTGTGCAGGCCCCTGCGCCGCGGACTTGTGGCCCCCTGGCCGAGGCTCTCCGCCTCCTGGCAGTTCGGACAGTCGCAAGTGGCTCTGCCAGAGTAGCGCCGCGAGGAGGAGCGGGACGATGCGGGCAGAGAAACCGCGGGGGGTCCCGTCAGAGCGGGGGCCCCCGCCGTTGCAGACTCTGTGTAAGAGGCATGGACGGGTGGCCTGAAGCCATCAAACAGGTGCTGGGTGGCGGGGTGCAGGTGCTGAGAGGCCCCGGGGCTGAAGGCCGAGCTGTAGTCAGAGCTGTAGCCGCTCAGAGGGGAGGCTAACCCGGACGGGCTCTGCGTGTCCACCCAGTTGGTCCCCATGTCCCACCAAGCGGCAGAGCCGTTGCCGACATCCCCCACCGGCTTGAACCATGAGTCGTAGGGATGCGCGTGCATCCTCGGATAAATCCCAGCTATGCTTTCCACCGAGGAGGGGAATTTGGTGAGGAACACAGAGCGCTGCGTGTGCGTAGGATCGGGACCACTGGTTTCTGACGGCACGGAGGTCTGGTACATGGAAATGTCATTTGCAAAAGGCGAGTTGGCGGTGGTCACTGAGAAAGCGCTCGAGGTGTCTGTAAAGCCCGTGCCGGTACTCCTGGGGGGGACCCCGAGAGGGGCGAAGCAAGCGCCGGGGCTGCCGGATCCCGCGGCGCCTCGTTTCCACGGGTAAAACCCCTTCACGTATCCCGGAACACCGTCGGACAGAGCGGAGGAGCACGAGGGGCTGGACTCGCCGATTCTGCTGCAGGTGGCGGCCAACATTGCCAGCGGCGTGCTGCCCATCCGGGGCTCCTCCTGGATGGGGGTGCGCAGACATTTAGGAAAGTTATAGCCAAACGTGGTGTGCGTAAAGACGCGCAAAATATGCGTTTTGGGGGCAAAAACACCTGTGCGCTCATCAGCTTTCACTAAACAACAAACAGAATCATACAAACAACTGCTTCCGGATTGATAAAGTGCGAAGTTAAATGTGCCAAAGACGCACTGAGCCATTTAAAGATGTAATAACGAAACAAACCCGATGCTTAAGAGATATTTTGGGTGAAGGTGGACACGTAGAAGCAAACTTACCCCCAGCAGTGTAGCAGCCATGCTCTGTGCTGTGATATCTTTGTGCGTGTGTGTCCGTGTGTGTCCGTGTGCGCCGGCGGTGAATGAACCGGATGAGTCTGCGCTTCCTCTCCGACAGCTTCGGTAGTTGTGACTTCTCCGGGCCTTTGAGGTGCCGCTGAGCGTCGGATGGACCAATCAGAGAGCAGCTCACACCGTCACGGAACCCAAGCGCTGGAGGTGGTCGTAAATTAGAAAAGTGAGGTCTCGCGACTCTGGCGCGCTCCAAACTGTAGAGAGAGAGAGACAGAGACAGAGAGAGAGAGACAGAGAGAGAGGGAGAGAATATGAAGAGAAGACATGTTCAAGACAATAAATTTGCTTTGAGCAGATAACACACCCTTCACAATAACTCACTGTCTTTACTTCAAACAGTCATGACTGAGCTTGTACATGCGTCCTCATTTGTTATTGCGCATAATGTCCGTTTTTTCCCTCCATAACAGTTCTATTCATTTATACAGAACTCAAACAGCAAAAGGCTCCATTATGGAGCAGAAAGGAATGTGGCCGAGTGGCCCCAAAGGACCTTAAAGAGGTCACTCCATTAAGCAATTCAATTTCAAATTTGTAAACTGTTTGTGAATAGCGCCCACAATTTAAAAGACAGAAAAAGACAGCAGTTGAAAAAAATAAAGAGCAACAGCACTTTACAGGTAGAGGAGCACCTTTTTGGCAGTTTAGACAACGCTTTTTTTGTGTGTTTAAGTAAAGGTCAACCGTGAATGTTTCAGGCAGGAAGCCTTTGTTTCAGCTATGCAGCGCGTGAAGCCTCGCAGAGCTAGAGGCTGATGAATGAGAGGCAGGCCCGGTCCGTCCCATCCTGTCCCTGGGGCGTATCTTCAGGCTCGGGGCAGTGAGGGGAGGACACCACCACTACCTCCACAATTTCATCTCATTCAACACTAAACAAATGTTGTCTTTTCAAAAAAAAAAAAAAACTCCTCTTCCTGCTGTCCAAAATTCTATAGATCATATACTCGTCCTGGTTCAGGATCACGCTGAATGTGCACAGTCAGGGAGAACTTTTATCACTTGAATGTAACAAGTAAATACTATCCTTCAATCACGGGTGATTGACCAATATGGTAACATACTCCCAGAAATAACCCAGATTCTTTTTTTTAGCCTCTTAAGCCGCAGGGGAAGCATTTCATTTGAATTTTAAATTTAATAAAATAGCAGGATTTTAATCCATTTCCTTCATTTGTTTGGTATTAAATGCTTCCCTGCCCTTTCTTCATCTCTCTTGTTCTATCATCCTGAATGTATCAGCTGGAGACACGTAGACGGAAAAGTTAATCAAGTTACTCATCCACTCAGCCCCCACCCCAACACGTGCACACGCACACACACACACACAGCTTACATTGGGTGATTGATGGTGCCCAAGATTAAATTTGGTGATGCTATGCAAAGATAAATAGCTCACTCCATCAGCAAGCTTACATTTAATACTTTTCTTTAAATATGTTTTAGGAGGTTGTAAAAAAGTATGAAGAGGGGTAAGAGTTGGTTACGTCTATTTGATTTTAGTTTTTTTTAAGCAACTTTATTATTTTTTTGAACAGATCACATGAAAGCATGACCTTGGGTGTCATATTTGGTAGTCCGCACGCGCTAATCCAGACGTCCCATTGGGCCGCTCAAAATCACAGGTTCCCACGCTGGCCCTCTCTCCCCCGCAGCCTGAGGCACGGCCGTATGCACAGGTGGAGTTTACAGTAGGCCATCTTGCCGTCCTCACAAGCCACCCAAACAGCTGTCCCTCTTTTAAATGCATTCTTTTCCCACACTGAAAGTAAGTGTGTGCCTGTGTGTGTGTGTGTGTGTGTGTGTGCGCTTTAAAGGCGCCCAATGAAACCCTGTCTGAGCCCCAACCTGTTCCTTTAGCGATGATAATGACCACATTATCTCGCGCCATCGGACGTCAACAAAAAAAGATTGTCGTGTGCTTTGCAATCACTTCGTGGGCACTGAGACAGAAAAGGCAGAAAGAAAGGAGTGAAATAAAGATCTGGCACTTCTCGGGGAGAGGGATGGGTGAAGTATTTTATTTCTCCTTGGTGTTTTCCTCAACTCCTCTTTTGTTGGCGTAGTATAGTCGCGGTGATCCAGAGGGCAGGGCGGCCATCTTTGTCAGCTGCCCTGCTGGGACAATTAGCAGGAGAATCAGAGTCAAAAGAAAAGCTGCAAAACATGACGCAAAAAATATTCATTACAGCCGGCGGGTCAGTCAATCAATTTGTGTAAAACAAAGAGAAGAAAAATGTTTTAAAACAAAATAGTTTGATTTTTGATTGAGCTGCCATGATGTAGATGCTTTATGTGAAGGTTGGCTGAATGGACTGAAACATCCCCCCTTCTTTCTCCTCAGCTTTGTGACCATTTCTTCTCAAATGTTAAGAACACACGCCACCAAAATATATTTCTCTATTTATGAGTTGCTCACTGTACCTAACCCTAACTTGGATAGCGGCTGCTGTACAAATATATATTCAAATGGGTTAAATGTGCATTTTTGTCAAAATGTTAATTTCATATTATATTAAGCTATTCTAAATAAATTGTGGGTTTCTGTTGTATGTGATTTGTCATTACCTGAGAAACAATAATGTGATTACTGAACTGAAAGTACTTCTCAAAAATATGTATTATCATTTCTAACAACATGGTTAACTTTGAATTCTGACACAAGCCTTTAGAAATCACAAAATACGTTCCATGTTAAAAGTTCCACAGGAAAACACGTCTAACACGGTGTCTACATTAATTTAGCACCACAGGACATTCCACCGCGTAACTCAGCCTGAATGACCCATATGTCTCCTTTGATGCCCTTTAAGCTCAACCACTATAACAAATTGAAAGAGGAAAAAGTCACCCAGGTGAGCCGAGTGCCAGGATGTGCCTGGAGCAGCTCCTCGCAGGGCTTCCTGTAATTACTGGAGAGGTCCGCCGCCTGTCAGCGCCGGGCTGACGGACGGCTGTGTGGCAGTCGAGCAGGCAAAACGTGTTTGGTCTGCGATGGTTCCGTGGCGAAAACGTTCACGTAGATCCCATTTAATCCGCACTTACAGTAAAGGATCAATAAGCACTAAACCCCTCCCCCGTTTTATCTCGTGCAAACACATAAACTCACTTTCTTGACTGACTCGTGTCACGCGTGTCTCGCGCACACGCTCCTGCATGTCCTCACATGGAAGAAGACACGCACAGGGGGCAGAAAGAGCATGGCTCATCGGTGTGTCTGTGCAGCAGCATGAGGGAATCATTGCCGGTGTAATTACTGTTGAAGCACTTCATTCACATTCATGTATACAGCACATCTACATACATCAGCAGACACGCTCATTCATGAAACGAAGAGAGGGGGATGGATTCATGGCCGAGCGGGGGAGAGGCCTCCGTTTGTTAGGCACAAGTTTGGGCTGAAGGTGAATTGAAATTGTACTTCATGGGTAGCGTCCCTCTTTGTTTCCTCACACACACACACACACACACACACACACTTGGGTTAGGGTTGATGGATGTCTGGCGTTTGTTAAGTCGTACATCACTGAGGTCATTTAAGCTGCCAACACATCTGCTGTCTGTGCCTCCAGAAAGAGAGGAAGAGGTGGAGAGAGTGGAAAGATTTATAAAGGCGGAGGGGGGGGGCGGAATTATGCAGGGTGAGAGAGAACGATACTGATTAGTAACTGGAGTGGATGAGCATCTCACGCGCACGGACACACAAAGAAACACACGCGCACTGTAAAACGCTCCGACTAAAACTGCTTGCGTGGAGTTCCTCCGCTCCTCCATTAACTTTCGTCTTGTCTCTGTTAACTACTGACAATAAAGTTGCTGATTTATGCCGAGCAGCCTTTCTGCGCGCCAACATGTTGATGAGATGCGTCCAAAGGAGTCCTCATTGATTTCTTCAAATGTCGTGGATGTTGGCTAGGTGGCGTGTTGATTGCAGATCAATACCTTTCAGCTCAGCATAGTTCAGTCACTGCAGCAGCGTCTCTTCTGTAACTAAACCTGCAGCTGGATCCAACCAAAATAAAGAATGCTCTGCTTTACTTCATCGACGCTGGTGGAAAGAGGGAACTCAAATCAAGACTGGCTTTAACTGTTGCTCTTATTTAAAGTTCACAATGGTTGTCTGATAAATGATCAATTCAGAAGCAGATGGAATGCTTCCAGTGATTGGTGAGAAATGAAACACTTGACAGCAGTCGGTCTGCAGACGAGACAACCGTCTTCCATTCGGTGGTCACACATGCTGAAATGTAAGGTACCAAAGGAGGTGAATTCTCCAGAGTTCAGTCCGGAACTAAACTGGGGAAGTGATCGAGCGTCTTTATTCAACATCAGCCTGTGACATCAAAGTATGTGAAGTCTGTCTCACTACAGCATTTGTAATTTTCCCCCATAGTGACATCCGCTCTGTCATCTGTCTCTGTTGGTTTAAATCTTTTAAGCGCCGGTCATTTTGTCTATGGACCACGGTACCAATACCTGATAGATACAGAATGGTTATACGGCATTGATTGTTTCTAGCTGAAGTGAACTTCCCACCAAATAATATGTCACTAAACTGGGGGCGAGGGAGGGAAGGGTATTCGGGACCAGGGTTTGTGTCCCGCAGCGTTGAGCTATTGTGAAGAAACTCCTGTGTAGATTTTCCTAAAGCGAACCCTCCTTTTGTTGCATAAATCGAACATCACATTGTTTCCTCGGCGTCGGCGGGTAACTTGAACCCGCTTCGTGCCACCACCACTAAATGTGGGATTTCTTTGTTTCACCCCCCAAAAAAAAGGAGGGGGGGGGAGGGTTCTTCTCCTTCTGTTTAACCTCGATGAACAGAGGCGTCAGTAGCACTTTTGCGTGGAGCACGTGGTGATTGTGTAGGGGTTAACGTGATAAGTAGGAGCGGATGTGGCATTTAAAGGCTGTTATTATGGTCTGCTTGCTGCAGCTGGTTCAGACATACAAATTGAGACTCATCCAAAACACGCACACACCACTTATGGATTTGGCACGCTCCAATAGTTCTGTGTTTTGTAGACCGGGGGAGGAAGGCTGGTGAGAAGCAGAAGAAGAAGAGGAGGAGGAGGAGGAGCAGTGGATGAAGACATAAGGCCGTCGATGGTACACATGTCACTCGTTTGGATTTCTCTAATCTCTTTTCAAGCTTGGGTCAGATTTTTTTTTTTTGTTCATCACCAACCAGTCGGGACTC